ATATGCGCTATATTTGGTATTATATATGGCCAAGTCAAAACGTGCTGCTACGGTTCTAACATAATAACATCGAATATAAAAGGTATCTGCGTTTCTTCGAATGTGTCGTAGTGCTGCCTCTATTGGCGGTTTTCGAGAAATCGCCCTTTTAAAAACGATAATTTTTGGAAATTTTGAAAATAGTCCACTAGAGGGCATAAAATGTTTTTTCTGTATTTTATACTTTCCGAATTAATTCTTAGTTTAATAGATGTACAGTATTAATTTGTGACAAAAAGAAAATATATTTTATCAATTATCCAGCAAATTTAGTTGAAATGCAACATCTTTTGAAATTTGTTACGTCCATGTTAGTGTAAAATTTTGAAAAAACACGCTATTTTTGTTATTATATATGGTCAAGTCAAAACGTGCTGCTACTGTTTTGGTATAGTGTAATAGAATCTATAAGGTATCTTATTTTCTCCGAATGTGTCGCAGTGCTGCCTTTATTGGCAGTTTTCGAGAAATAGCCATTTTGTAAACGATATTTGGTTGAAATGTTTGAAAGAATCCACTAGAGGTCGGAAATGTTTTTTTGTTGTTTTATACTTCTCGTAACGTATTCCAAGTCTACCCGACGTACAGTATGAATGTGTGACAAAGAGAAAAAGATATTTGATCAATTATGTAGCAAATTTTGTTGAAATATAAACCCTTTTAAAATTTGTTTCGCCCACATTGTTTATAGAATTTAGAATACACGCTATGTTTAGTATTAAATATGGCCAAATCGAAACGTGCTGCTACTGTTCTGGTTTGGTGAAATCGAATCTTTAATGTATCTGCTATTCGCCGAAAGTGTCGTATTGTTGCCTCTTTGGCAGATTTCGAGAAATCGTCACACCAAAAACGGCATGTTTGGGAAATTGAAAAAAAAAATTATATATAGGTTGTATGACATTTTTCATTGTTTTATACAATTTGCAACTTTAAGTTGTGTGTCTAATTAACACACAGTATCGGTGTTTAAAAAAGTAAGAAAACGGAATATTACGTTATTAGGTGAGTTTATTTAAAATACCAAACCTTTTTAAAATATGTGAACATCTACGCTATTTAAATATTTCAGAATATACGCTATGTTTGGTATCATAAATGGCCAAGTCAAAACGTGCTGCTACTGTTACGGTATAGTGAAGTCGAATCTATAAGGTATGTGCTTTACTCTGAATGTGTCGTGATGCTGCCTTTATTGGCGGTTTTTGAGAAATCACCACTTCAAAAACGATAATTTTTGAGGTGCGCAAACTGATTCACGAGGATGCGCAAAAATTTTTTTATTATCACTTTATACTTTCTGAAACTTATTCTAAGTTTGATAGACGTACAGTATTGATGTGCGACAAAGAGAAAAAGATATTTGATCAATTATCTAGCAAATTTAGTTGAAATACAAAATCAATTTCAAATTTGTTACGTCCATGCCGTTTGTAAAATTTAGATTACACGATATGTTTGGTAACATATATGGTCAAGCCAAAACGTGCTGCTACTGTTCTGTTATAAAAAAAATCGAATTGATAGGGTATCTGCTTTTCTTCAAATGTGTCGTGGTGCTGCCTTTATTGGCGGTTTTCGAGGAATCGAGGTTCCAAAAAGGATAATTTTTCGAAACTTTGTATTTGAGGAATACCTGAAAATTCATTTTTCGCTCAGTTAGTCTTTTTTTAAACACTATTTTCTTGCTAAATTCAATGTATTCATTCAGTTTAAAGATTTTTCATGTATTTCCGTGCTAAAATTATATTTTGATCAGCCTTTTCAATTTTCATATGTAACTATAAATGAACACTATACGCGCGTGGAACCTATATTCAATGTGTAAAAATATTCTGGCTGAAAGTGCTGCTAGCTTCACAGTGGTTACTTTTTATTACCGCTACATTAATAGTTGATTCAAAAATCGTTCAGAGTAGAGAGCGATAGCTTATTGCCCTTAACCTACGTTCGCTATTATTTTCAATGACCAGGCCGTTTTATCTTTTCCTCTTTATTATGTACATTATATAGATGCAATAGTTTGTTTGTATTCCTCATTAGACTCTATCAATTTTTCGTAAGTGTCTCCTAAATTGCATTTGCTGTAAATATTTTCGATTTACTGTTTGCCTTATATTGCTTTTAGTTGCATATTCCGCCAAACTTGCCCTTCCTATATTTTTTCTGTGCTTTTATCTTGCTTTCCTCGCGTTTTTATTAGTTGTTAGTAATTATTCCGTGAAAGTTACATTTTCTGTTCCACTGTGTCATAATCGCATACATTTCGAATGTCGCTGTAATTGTATCAGTTGTGACTTATTCCTAGGACTTATTCATTTTATCCCTCATTTAATTATGTTTATTCTAACCTGTAGCGCTGTAGGTGTCGCTGCTTGAAGACCTTCTTAGGTCCCTCGCGACTCCGGTCACGCAAAAACATGATTAGTACTGTAATTTATTCATTGTGTCACTTTATGTTTGAACGTGTTTTTGTGATGACAAAATAAACGATTGATTGATTGATTGTTCAGGAAATGTACTTTGTATGAGTTTTGAATATGCTATCAAAACCGTTTCAATGTTATGAAAATATGAAGACGTGCGCTTATTGGCATGCGACGAAATTGAGGAATACAAGTTGTAAATGTAATATTTTCTATGGATTCTGTACACTATATAATTTTTTATATCGGTCACCTTTCATTTCATCAATGGATAACACCATGTATTTTTCATGTTCTTCCACTGTAAAGCTTCTGGTTTTGATTTCTTCCAAAACATGGTTGTGTATTCCTGGGGAGGTTCGGAAAACATTCCTGTAACATTCAAATGGCCTTAAATACACTAGTCAAATTTGCTCATATACCAACACAATCCTTCCAACCATGTGTAATGTGTTCCAGTACGATTGGGCTGACCTGTAATCACTTAATGTTCGATTGCTCGGCAGGTGGAGCAAACCGCTTTTCCTCAGTTCTTCATAAGCCTTGCGACTTTTTGCAGCCAAACTCAGGCAAATCTGTAATATAAATCTATTATTTATTCATATGGCCAATTTTGCTTTAAAGAAAATTTTTTATTCCTTACTTGATTATTTCAGGGTGGTATCTTTTTCTGCATAATGATGCTCTATTTAATTTGGTTTGTTCTTTCCAGAACAGTGAATAAAAGTCGGTAACTTCATTTTTTTGTGATGCTGAAGACATTTAAAAAGATATTTCAGAGTTCAGTGGTAGGATGTGGAACCAAACCATTTTTAGTGCGATTTAAGAAAATATTTGATAAATGTATTTCGTTACCGATACAAGTTAGACGCAAACCTGAACAAAGCAAATAATAGAAAACCTAGAATTAACAATACCGAGTTGAGAACCACAGAAAATTATGTACCATTATTTATTATTGTATAAAAGTCTTCTGACATTTCGGAATCAACAGGTACTTGAATATTTTTATCTTGAAGCATATTTTGGACTTGTTCTTTCGATTCTTTCAATCTACAATTAAAAAAAACTATTGAGTTCACTTTCATGTGTCTTGTTAGTATTTATCTAAATCAACGTTAGGCAAAAATTTTGAATGCAATGTACGGTAAATCTTTATAAATGGAATTTGAACAAATACCACAGAAATTAATATTGTTAAAAACTACATCTCAAAATTGACAATAACAATCGACATCTTGTATCAATATTCAACAAAACATGATCAAAAATTTTAAAGACTACCTTATGGCTTAGTGTTTCATTGTGGCTTTGTTACGACAGTCTAAGGTACCAGATTTGACTTGTTTTAATGGTAATTGGCAAACTTTTTCTCTGTAGGAAGTTTTTCTTATCGCAGTACTTTGTATTCGCTTTTCGTCCTTCATACATTGCTCGCATTTGCTTCCTGATGATATGAATATGTCACAGGTTGTTGATCTGAAAACAATAAAGCTGTATTAAAATGACTTTGCTGATATTCCTTATTTAAGTTTCAATATAAGTTACAAAATAACACGGGAAGGTTGGAAACTAACGATACAACTGAATACGGTACAACTGAATATGTAATATTCCTTACAGCCTAGAATTATTCACAAAATAACTATTACTCACAAAAACAATGAAGTAAGTTCACGTGATGTAATTTCGCAGGCAAGAAATACGTGAAGTCCATGCTTTAGAAAACGAATAACTAACTAATCCCATACCCGACTTGGAATGGTAACCGCATGAGAGGCCGTAGACCAGGGCTGGGCAATTATTTATGCTCGAGGGCCACATTGCAAATCAAAATGCAGTGGCGGGGCGGACTAATTTGAGTCAACCCACATTGCGTTTTTTATTGTATTTTATTACACAATTGAATGAAACAAAATCTAATACAATTGTTATTTTTAATGAGACGTGTGTATGCTCTGCTGCGCCTTAACAAGTCCTTGAATGTCGGATTCAATGGCAGACGTATATATTCTCAGCAAATCAGAAAGATGTTCATCGGTGAGAGACGACCGAAATTTCGATTTGGTAAAATTCATTACTGAGAAGGTTTGCTCGCAAATATAAGTGGATCCGAAAAGAACTAGCATCTTTTGAGCATGTCTCCTTATGTTGGGAAAACTTTTTTTATTTAGAGAGGAATAAAAATCCAGAATTTCAGATGATTTAAATTTTTCCTGAAGTAAAGTGTCACACTGCAAATCAATAAGCTCGAGTTGTGCATCAGATGGTATGTTTTCCACGTTACTGGTGAAAGGAGAAGAGACCATACTCATTTTATTTTCAATTAATCGGAAATCTTCAAATCGTCTTAAAAATTCAGCATGCAGTGCATCTAGCATTGTAGAGTACTTTTGAAAATCATTTGCAGATGTGGTAGCTGTGTTGAGTGTGGGAAAATGAGCGAGATTATTGTTCTGTAATTGGCGTGAAAGAAACTGCAATTCCGTTATGAACGATTTTACCAAGCTGTGCATATTATGCACAAACAGTTTTTTACTTGAGTTTGCAATTCAACTCATTCAATAGAGCAGTGACATCAACAACAAAAGCAAAATCAGATAACCATTTCTTATCTGAAAGCTGCGGAATATCCTTGTTCTTTGTTTGACAGAATTCTCGAATCTCCTGCTGCAAGTCCCAAACTCGCTTCAGTATTTTGCCTAAACTGAGCCATCTCACAGTTGTATGATATCCTATGTCAGTGTGCTCATTTTCTTGCTCTTCCAACAGGGAAATAAACTGTCTGTGATTTAGTGCTCGAGACCTGATGAAGTTAACTAGTTTTGTAACAACATCAGTGACATGGCTTATTTTTAGCACTGACTTGCACAATACCTGTTGATGTATGATACAATGTAAAAACACTAACTGCTGCTTTGGGTCAATTTCATTAACTCTGTCTTTCATGCGCTTCAACAATCCCACATTTTTTCCTGTAAGATTTGGGCACCCATCTGTCGTCACTCCCGCCAATTTTTCCCATTTAAGTCCCAACTTATCCATGGATGCATCTACCTCGCTAAAAATATCTGCACCTGTTGTTGTTCCTTTCATTGGTCTTATAGCAGCTATTTCTTCAGTAATTTTGAAATCACAAGTAATTCCACGAACGAAAATAAGCAACTGAGCAGTGTCGCGTACATCACAACTCTCGTCTAACGCTAAAGTGAAGAAGTCAAATTGTTTGACATAATGTAGCAACTGATCTCTTAAATCTCCTGCGATACACTCAACCCTTCTGGTGACAGTTCTTCTCGATAGCGGAACTTGTTTAAAAGCATCTGTTTTATCAGGACAAACAATTGCTGCCGTCTCTACTAAACATTCTTTGACGAACTCCCCTTCAGAAAATGGTTTGCTGTTTTGAGCGATTTTGTGAGCTATTACGAAACTGGCCATGACAGCTGCATCATTAGATGCATGGAGTCGTGTGAAAAAACTTTGCTGTTTTTCGAGCTTTGCTACCATACTCTCCGCTGTTTGCGCCATTTCATTATTACTTAGATTTTTGTATTTTTTTGCATGTTTTGTCTCAAAATGCCTTTTTAAATTAAAAACCTTAATAACCGCGACCTTCTCCTTGCAAACCAGACAAACAGCTATCCCATCGACTCATGTGAATAAATACTTCGCTGTCCAACTTTTGTTAAAAATTGCGGGCCGGAGCTTGCCCAGGCCTGCCGTAGACCGTGGTTCGCCATTTCCTCTCCCCCTGGATAAATATGTAAATCCTATCTTACGCATATTACTGCATTATGACAGCATGACAATGTATCACAATTCACAGCACAGTTAGCCTAGGTGGGCAAAACTCCTTTTCATGTAATGTATGATACCTCCTTTAAATAAAAATTCTCTAATAACTAACTTTGAACTTTGTCATCATCTGCGAAATGCTCCAAACAAATCTTCACACTATCGCGTTTGTAAAGGTCTTTGATAAAACTGTAAAACGATCATCTCTGATTCCCAGAATGATTCTCTCCAACTCGTCAGCCCACTCCCTCTTTTCACCTGAGCAAAATCGTTTCGCTGGCACCGCACACAAACCTGAGGTACTTGCGATACTGCTGCATCCCGGAACACAACAATGCTTGGAAATATTGGCAATTTTTGTTTGTTACGGATGCAGAAAGACGGGTGGGAAGCGTGAACAGCGTGCAGAGCAAGCAAAGAAAGCGGAAGATAGGCGACGACAGATATGTGCATTGGAGCGTATTATGAAATAAAATCTTTTGCCTGTAGCTTTACGGGATGACGTCAGAGTTTCCACTCTTTGTATATATGCTCATTGGTCTACAAAATGGCGTGGCCCGTGGTTTGGTAGTGCCAGGGTCTGAGGATGCCTTTTAGAAGTCCTAAACTTTTAAGATCTTGGTGTCCTATGTATGAAAAATAGTAATAATGAAATTGGTGTTGTGTGTTGACTGAAATTTAATAAGTAAGTCCCAGTATTCATTACATGTTCGCTGGAACCGATCTAGTAGACCACATATTCACGCTGCAGTGGTTCACCTGCGATTCAAATCCGTGATTTCAGTCTAGATTCTCTAGAACAGCGTTTACCTAACTGTGTTCCGCGAGCGTCTTCGAAGTGTTCCGTGAAAAGAGAATCAAAAATACGTCTAAAATGGTCGCCATGGCAATCTATGGAACGTGGAATTGCCGCCCAACTGACCGGCGATATTGCGTCACCGTCGGCCTAATGTGGACCAATTAGGGTGGGGTAGTGGAATTTTTGATAACCGTCGCTATTCTTCCTTCATCTTTGACTGGTTTTACTTTAAAATAATTTCTTATTTGGCCAAACTCTATTCAATAAATAAATAAACTGCAGCAGGTACTTCTATCTCCATTAGAGACAAACACTATGTAATGGAAAGTAAACGACATAGAATGGTAAAATGAATGAATTGATTTATATACACAGTATTTAAATTAAACAACCATAAAACATTCATAATAATCAATATGCAAAATATTCAGTCATTTTTTAGGTATGTTTAACACAATTATGTTAGTTCTCGCGGCGCATTTGGCAACTCGCCACTAGATTGAGTAGCGGTTACATTACACCGTTTTTCTTTATCAATTTTATCCGTTCAACCAGTGGCGGCGCGTCAATAGGGCCAACCGGGGCAATAAAAAATATTCGAAAAATACCTCAATATCGGTTGCACAGACTGTCTACACTAGCCATATTCTCCCGACATGGTCATTTTTCGCTCGCAAAGCCTTCGCCGAACGTCGACGGGGCGACGCCGATTTTGCCCCGGTTGCTCATTGTATATCGTATTCTCTCTTTTATCTTCCACTCGCCGCGTTTGTCTCGTTTGTTTTCTGTTTCTTTTACTAAATCATCGGGGCCGATCGGGGCTAGCCCCGAAATTATGACGACACAATGCCGACGTTTCTTACAACAACGTGTTGACATATTCACGCATTCCTTCTCGTTCGTTGGTTGCTTGAAGAGTTGATAGTTTCCTCGCCTTCGTTTTTGTCGCTTGTTTCGCTATTTGAATCAGTTAGAGACCTTTAGTCCATTTGCTTTCGATATTCCACATTCCTTTTGAGCTCCTCACTTCTTTCCGGCTTCGCATTTCTTAGCCTTAGACCTCATAATGAATAAGGTTGATGCACTACAACGTCTTGGGCCTTATCAACCAAAAAATTGTTCACTGGAACAATCCCATGACGCAGGAAAGCGTCGGCGTACATTCTGCGCAGAAACTTGGTATAAAAAACACGAATGGTTGTGTTACAGCGAGGACAAAAATGCACTTTTTTGTTTTTATTGCCTACTTTTTGCTACCGCCCGTGACTCACGTTGGTGTAAATTTGGTTTTAGAGATCTTAAACATCTTTCCGAGCGTGCCAGGGATCATCAATCTTCTATGGAGCATCTGGACAATGCAGTAAAATACCGAACATTCGGAAATGTTAATATTGCAGCACAGTTGGATGAAGGACGCGCGGTTTCTATTCGTCGGCACAACCAAAACGTCGAGAAAAACCGCCCTGTTCTCAGTCGATTGATAGACGTTTTGAAGTTCATTGGTTGTCACGAGCTGTCCCTCCGTGGGCACGATGAACGGGCTGGCTCTTCTAATAGAGGGGTATTTTTGGATATGGTGGAATACACCGCATCCCTAGATACAGTATTGAGAGATCATCTTGATGCCGCAACTGTTTTGAAAGGGACATCTAAGGATATCCAAAATGATTTGCTCGACTCAATGTATAATTTATTTTCAACATTTGGCTCTGGAAATTGAGAATTGCCAGTTCCTTTCGATTCAGTCTTGCGAGACAACTGACATCACGTGCGTTTCCCAACTGGCTGTGATTTTTCGGTTTGTGAAAGATGGTAAACCTACCGAGAGATTTTACAGCTTTGTACCAATCGTTGATCACACGGATTGCGGGATATCGGCTGTACTGAAAGAAGTGTTACAGCTTTACAACGCGAAGTCAAAATTGATAGCTCAAACTTATGACGGCGCGGCAGTCATGAGTGGGTCGAAACATGGTGTTCAAGTTTATATAAAAGAAGATTTTCCTCATGCGCATTTTTTACATTGTTATGCACACCAATTTAACCTCGTTATTAAAAATATGTGTTTTGATACCCCTCTCGTCCGTATATTTTTTGCAAATGTTTCGGGGTTTTCTTCATTTTTTTCCGTTTCGCCGAAGCGCTCTGACCTCCTTCGCCAGATATGTAGCCGCCGTCTCCCAGCTTGTGCACCAACACGTTGGAACTTCCAATCACGCGTGGTGCAGGGCGTGTCCGAAATTAGGTCTGAGCTCATTGAGTGTTTCAATGGCATTCAGAGCTCTCCGGTTTGGAACGAACGCTCTGTGAGGGAGGCGGCAGGTCTAAAGCGTCTGCTAGAAGATGGTGAGTTTTCATTTTTTCTCGCTTTTTTCTCCACAATATTCTATCACATGGATGTATTATACGGCGCATTATTTCAGACTTCTGCGATGCTGTATCTCGTATCCGGGAAACAATAAAATACGACGACACATGGAGTGCTTCTTTACGCCGCGGGCAAACAACGCAGCGTTTGATTTTGTCTGCAAAGGAATGCTGTGACATTCTGGTGAATCAAATAGGCGATCGTCTGCGCACTGAACACCTTGCCGCGTTCTCTTTGATGAACCCCAAAAATTTTTCAAAATTTGCACGTCAATTTCCCATCCATTTGTTGGCTACTGTCTCCAAATTTTACCCCATGATAAACGTGGGTAAATTGGAAAATGAATTGCGATGTATATACACCAATCAAACTTTTTTGAACATCACATCAACTTGCGCGCTATGGGTTCCTCATAGATAACACTCTAGTAACTACCTTTGCGGCGTCTGCAAAATTTCTGGACATCATTTTGACGACTCCTATTTCTTCCGCCGACGCAGAGCGAACATTCAGCACGCTGAAGCGTATTAAAACGTATCTCAGAAACACAATGAAGCAAGATAGATTAAATTCCTTGGCTGTTTTATCCATTCACAGAGACGTTATTTCTGGGATGCATGACTTTAATCAGCGCGTTATTGAGCATTTTGCTTCCAAGAAACCGCGGCGTGTTGCATATATGTTCAAGCCGTAGAAGTCTAGCAGCATATATATCTATGAGTGAGCGACGCATGTCCTTATCTTTGCATTAACTTTCCTTTCTTCATAGTAACGTTTTAAACCTTATTTTAGGTTTTGTCTGCTTTCCCGAAGTTTCTGTTAATATGTCATTGTATTTATCTGGGTAAATATTGCCTTTCCTTTCAAAATAAACTATGTCTATATTTATTAATCCCTTGACTTGGACCGGTTTTAAAGACACTTTCTTATCGTTAAAAATTGTCGCTTTTGCCGATTGGTTGTTACCGATGGAATGGTTTTTATACTCATAAAATGATGGGAGAACTTACAGCGCTCATCCTGTCCCCGTAGATGGGGGTGACTTGGTCCCGCAGTAGCTTGACCCTGTTGTCAAAATGACCACGCGCCGCCACTGCTTTCAACTTTTAGTGTTCCGCGAGGCGAGATGAAAAGTGCGAGTGTTCCGTGGACGAAATAGTTTGGGAAACGCTGGTCTAGAACATCAGACCTCCTACCGAGGAGGTCTGGAAGTGAGCTACACTGGTCTTGCTCAGGGCTGCTACTTTTGCCTGACTGAAAACATCTAGATTGACCTCAAAAAACATCCAGATTGAAAAAGAAAACATCTAGAAAATACATCTAGATATGGGGTTATTAAAATTAATGAAAAGTACCCATAATACAGTAATATTAGATGTCGAAGAAGCTAACATGATAACCTAGAATTCAATTCCACCTGCAGAACTTACAAACGATCTTGTTCTTATCATCTGAAGGGGGAAACCATTCCTTAAGCCAATCTTTCCTAAATTTTTGCTGGTAGTGTATAGGTACACTTTGGCATTTTGAAAAGTTGATGTTTAAAGAGAGACACATTCAATAGCA